GGGGAACTTGTTATTCAAGACATAAGGTAACCATTATTAATGTGTTGTGATGGGTGTGTTTGTGAATGGTTATGTGCTATTTTATTGTTTGAAAAAATTATGAATTAATGAAAATAAATACTGTATATATATACTTGTTTGAAATTATTGCCAAGTGGGTCAAAAATTTATTTTTGTTTATCATGATGAGATATTATTGTTCGGATATATTCCTGTTTGAATATTTGAATAATGCATGACTTGTCAGAGTATTTTAATATATGGTGTTAATGAGAATTTCTGTTCGATTAATTATTACCACGTGGTAAGCCCTCATTGGACCCAATAAGTGGAGTGTCGCTTGGTCCAACTCACTTTTGGCCGGGTGATTTGGCGTCCAAGCATGGCGAAAGGAGGATATAAGGTGCAGTCATGCAAATTAAATACTTGTTTGGTTTGTTTGAAAGTATTGTTCGGTTAAATATTTTGTGTGCCCACTTAGCAATCGCATGATTAGTTACATCCGCATGCATCATTACATATTAATTTTTGGTTACTGGGACTTTTAAGTCTCATTCCCCGTGGTTAATATTTTTACAGGAGCGAATTCGGCTGAGAAAGCACCAGAGGTGTAACTATGGTGTATGAGACACCATCTTTTACGTTGCCTCTTATTTTAGATTATACAATGTATTTTGTGCCAATTTAGGACATATCTTCTTTGTGAAGCATGTAAACTCTAATCCTTTTTATTAAAAGTATTGATATGACCAAGAGGATTATGTTTGTCCCTCTTGATTTATGATTTGATTTGAATATCATGACATGAGGATTATGTCTGTCTCTTATAGTTTTAATTGCCTTTTTGGATATTTTAAGACTTGTGTTATATCTTGGATGTATCATGGTAAGAAAATTTTCTACCATGATAATGGTTTTAATAATTTACGAAAAATCAGTTTGTAAATTTGAGGGTGTTACATCTTACACTTAAGTTTTAGATAATAATATTGCGGGCACGATTATATGCAAACATAAATTTTCAATTACTTTTATTTGACTCTTGGGTTTTCCACTCCAAGGTTGCAACGTTAGATTTTAGATAGAGCCTTTCGCCAATCGAAACTTTGAAATACTATACTCTACAAATAAAATCATTGAACACAGCATTAATGGCTATCCCTCATTAATTAATTCCTTGATCGTGATTAAAGCCTAATCTATCAACAACCAAAAAAAAAGATTAAGGCTTAATATGCTGCTAATTGTGATTAAGCTTATTTAATCCCAAAACTAACTCCTATTAGTTTATTTAACCTTCATTAGCATAATAATTAGTGTCAGTACCTCCCTTTAGCTCAAACTTAATTTCTTAACATTAAGGTTAATCCTAAACTTTAATTTCTTAACATTAAGGTTAATCCTAAACCCCTCATTAATGACATTAATTACTGTCAACTACCAAAACTTAAGCGATGAAGCATTAAATAATAATTTAATAACCTACAAGCTGCTGTAACTCAACCTTAGGTTTGGACTCTCTTCCTTATAGAGATAAAACCACCAGAAACACATATAAGAAGGAAGCAGAAGAGTGTCTGGGATTTACCTAAAGCCTTGTATGCTTTAAACTACTCTCCAAGGCCTCAAGGATAAAACCCTAGCAAAACTCTTCGATCTCTCATAGCCAAAACTTTCCAAACTCTCAAAAGTCTCCAAACTCAATTCAAAATGAAGTTTGATTGTGCTTTGTGATGTTTAAAATTCTAGAGTGCTCGTTATGGCGAGGAGCAAAATTAATTAATGGTAGGGGCTTTAAAAAACAAAATTAAAAGTTAGAGGAGTTAGTTTTAGGCTTTTAAAAGTGTAGAAGTTATGTATAATTGTCTTAAAACTCAAGAGATTTCATACATTTTAATTGTTTCTTTTAAATTACACACAAATTCTTCTTGATTTCAATGGTCGCCTGTGGAATATTTTTCTATCTCAAGCAGGGGAGCCATACTAATTTGATGATCTAATAGCCAAGGCAGCCCCAGGAGCTTTAATGCATATTTATAACAAATTGACAAGTGTAATCACCCTTTATTATTATTACAAATTTGTTCAAAAGTTATTAAGGCTATGTTTGGTAATTTAAAACCAAATCAATAAGAAGGAAATGGAATTAAAAATGAAATCTATTGACAGACATATTTGGTATGCATTAAGCATGATTCTTAGGAATTTTAATTCAAGGAAATTTCCTATAATCCAATTCCATCATGCTCTCTATGGAATCCTGATTATGTGCTCCCCCCACCCCCCATTTTTCTTCTTGATGCAGATCATTCTTCTTCCTCCGGCAATATTAGATGGCGGCTTCCTCTTCCTCCATCGCCAACGAGAACCCACCTTCTTTTCCTAGATTTGCCAATGACCGCCTGTCTCGAAGGAGGAGTTCCTGGATTGTTGGCCCTAATGCATCACTTACTAGATTTGTTGAAGTGATTGGTTGAATAGGATACAAGTGTAATATTGTATCTGGCGGTTGGTGATGCATTGCAGCGGTCGTCGGCTATGACGGTCATAGGTGGCTTGTGGATCTTGGTGGGTTCAACAGATGGGGATGCGATATTCTTTTAGACTTTGAGGAGGGTTTAGGGTTTAGGGTATCTTGATCTTTATATATTTTAAATACAAATTATAACACAACATATATTTATAATTTAATTTTGATTTCAATTTTAATTTTAATTTTATCAAAAAAAATTTTACCATTTCAAAAGAAGCCTAAATTTGATCATGTATAAAAATGACGAGTATTGCTCGTCGTCAGATTTGTCATGCCCTTAGCTTTATCAACAACCACTAATAATGGCCTAAGGGCTAGTGGTCACGTGCACAACAAAATACGAAAATCAAAATAATTGTGTAACATGTTCACCAATTATTGAACCCGTGAAGGGTGTTTTTTTGGTCTTTCAAGTTTCAATTGAAAGAGATACTCTTTTGATTCTTTGTATAAGATATAGGAAAAAAATTAATTATAACCTCATTTATAGGATACTTTATTATTTTTATATTTATTTTTATCATTTTTTTTATTAAATATTAAAAGAAATTATGAAAAATAATTATTTTTATCATTATTAAGGGGGAGAGGTTGGAACTTATTAAATTTTAAGATAAAATTAATAAAATTTAAATTTTTTTAAATTTTGATAAAATATGCTGAGAGTATTTTACAAATAAAATAAGAGAGAGCGATATAATTTTTTTATGATACTTTTCTAGTCTTATTGATAGGGTAGGTTAAAAAACAATGATGAACTCGAAAAAATTAATCAGTGGGGCATAATTTATTTTAAAATAAATGATAATATCCTATAAAATAAGTAATTTTAAATATCTATTAAATTATATTAATGGTATAAGTTAATAAAAAATATGTTAAAAATGCATAAAACATAACATTATAATAACATAAAACACTCTCCTTATATAAATATATTTTTATATTTATTAGAGTCATGTTTTTAATTTTTATTAAATAAAATTAATATACTTTTTTTATATGGTAGAGAATTTTTTTTGATAAAATTTTTCTTAAACAATTTTTTTTAAATTTTTTATTGTCCATTTTAAAACTATTGCTATTTAAGTTTATAACAAACACACAATTTTAAATAATGAGATAAGTAAACTTTTATAAAAGAATACTTGAAATTATTTGAAGTGGGAGGGGGGCAATTGAAATTTTTTAAGGGAGGGAACTAAAATTATTTAAAATCATCTTAAATAATTTCTTATTGGGTTAGTGGGGGCAATTTCTCCCTCTATCATAAACACATAATATTTATTTTTATCATTTTTTATATTCATTTTTAATTCTATGCCTTTATTAAATTTTAAAAAAATCATAAAGATACTTTTTTGTTCATATTAGGATAGATGTAAAAATTTCTTAATTTTAACATAAAATTAATGATATTTTTTTAATTTTAGTAAGACATGTTAGAAGTAACTTAAAAAAATAAAAAAAATAAATCTTTAAAAATAATAATGAGTTATGACTTACGATCAGGAGAACCACAATTAAAGACTTGTAATCAACGCTATTGAATACATGTTTACAAATGAAACTTCGAAATCTAACACCTAAACTTTTGTATTTACAACTTACATATTTTTATTTCATGCTAATATTTTACAAGATCTTTAATTGATATTTTCTCACGAGCTATTCTAACCACAATTTATATTGCTGGACTTTTACCTAATGGCATCACTTGAATTTTTTTTTTTTGGGTCTTAGTTATTTTCTTTTACCTTCTATAAAAAAAAAACTTGTCACGTGGAAGTTGATTTGATGAAATTTTATTTTTATTTGTTTGGATTGAATGCCTTTTTTTCTCATTTCAGTAAAATTTAAATATTAAAGGGAACTTAATCATAAAAAATTTGAAAAATGATAATAATTTTTTTTAAATATATAAATAATAATTTGATCCCTCGAAATGATATAATTCTCCTAAAATTTTTAGAGACTTTTTTATCATTAATAAATTTATATAAATTATTAAATTATTCTTATTAAAAATAAATAATTCACAACTTTACTTCTTATATTTGTAATTTTTTTAAATTCACAATAATGTAACAGTAAATCATAACTTTGCATATTAAATTTTTTATTTATTGTTGTATTATTACGAATATAAAAAAAGAGTTGTAAATTATTTATTTTTGACAAGAATAATTTAATAATTTATATAAATTTATTAATGATAGAAAATTTTTTAAAAAATTTAAAGAAATTATGAAAATTTGAATTATCAAATTATTATTTATATATTTTAAAAAAATTATTATATTTTTTCTAAGATTATTATTTCTCACACACACGTGAATGCTTTTATTTCGTGCTCCTTTATGTCTATTTGGTCCTCATGAAGACAGTGTAAACTTAAAATTACCCATGCCTTAGACACCTTCTACCACAGCTCCATCTCCACGACTCCACACTACCTATCACCTTATTCGATCAGTTTCAGTCGCTTGCAAATTTTCACTAAAAAAAAAAAAAAAAAACCTAAACCTCGCAAATCTCCGTAGATCTTCATCGTCGCAGATCCAGCTTGGATGGCGTTGGCGTGCAAAGGAGAAGCTCAAGGAAGATCTTCATCCATCTCCGCCGGCGTTGCAAACCCGTGGCTTCATCGTGGCTCTTATTGCTTCATGTACATGGGTTCTTGTCGTTCCTGCTTCATCTTCATTTGATTTTTGGATTTGAGATTTTCTTGGTACGTCGAAACTCATCGTTAAAACCGTGTACGTCAAATATTATGACGACCTCGTTTACGTCAACACGAATAATTCAAGCCGCAAAAGGCACCACATCCCAGGATAATCCGGACGCGGCACTCGCAGAGCCAGTCCAAAAATATTAATTAGCCCAATTTATTTGATTTTAATTTCTTCGCCGCGTGACGCTGTGGTTCGAGCCTTCGAAGCGACCTCATTCTCGAAACGCGAAGCAGCCGATATGGAATGTGAATCACATGGTCGAGGCACCCGCACAACATGTAGGCCTTTTGACTTTGATCCACGCTTTTAAATTCTGCCCATTAAGCACGCCGGCCACTCTCTGTATATTTGTATTCGTTGCTTCCATCCCCAATCATTACCACTGAGGACGAAGGAGAAGATTATCGAAATGGGAAGCGAAGGTGACGTTGGAATGATCGCCGGCAGGAAGCCTAGAATACTGTGCCTTCACGGCTTCAGAACGAGCGCAGAAATTCTCAAGAAACAGATATACAGGTGGCCGGAATCCCTACTCCAGAAGCTGGATCTGGTTTTTGCCGATGCTCCCTTTCCCAGCAAGGGCAAATCCGACGTCGAAGGCATCTTCGACCCTCCTTATTACGAGTGGTTCCAGTTCAACAAGGTTCTTCTTATACCTGATCAATCTGCTCTTTTTTTTTTGGGGCACAACTACGCGGGTTTATTGGATTGTGATTTTAATAATTCGTGCATCTGTTTGATCGTGTTACGCTGTAATTAACAGGAATTTACAGAGTACACGAACTTTGATGAATGCCTAAAATATATAGAGGATTTCATGATCGGGTACGGGCCGTTTGATGGTCTCCTCGGTTTCTCTCAGGTAATTGTTTTTTCCCCCTCATCTACTGAATTTCGCTGTATTCATTATTCAAATCCATCGGCCTACAAGTTGCAATTGTGAAACATGTAATTGGAGAATACAGGGGGCGATATTGTCAGGTGGGCTGCTGGGTCTTCAGGAGAAGGTACGTGGAAAGTGGAGAAAATTTTTAACATATAGTTACATACTCTTTTTTTTTTTGGCCTGAATATAGCTGTATACTCTACTCCTCCGTCTTCCCCTGTTTTTCATTTTCTCAAAACAAAAAATAAATATGCTAAGTTACTGAAAGTGTAAAATTATAAAGTTGGTGGTTATAGGTTTTCTATATATAATTCTATAGTTTGGAAATATTAAAACTCGAGTTGATGATGTGCAGGGTGTGGCACTGAGCAAGGTTCCGAAAGTGAAATTCTTGATAATCATAGGAGGGGCTAAGTTCAGGGCACCTTGGGTGGCTGAGAAAGCATATTCCTCACCAATTTCGTGCCCCTCCCTCCACTTTCTAGGTATTTCCGTTGTTTTACTTTAGCTTTGTCCACCCCTCGCTGCTTCGTTGTCATTGTTTTTCTTAATAATAATATAATCATATAATATGGCGTTCCTTGTTAGGTGCTTGCCACCGGCCGAATTCCTCTGAATCTGGTTCTTTTTCTCTGTTGTCTATTACTTTTATATTAAGACAAATAACTGATTTCCATCGAATCTTCTTGCGTGTTGTGTTGTGATTAAACAATAGACTAGTCCCGTGTATCCTTATTTTTCTTTTTAATGCGGAAATTTATATCCAGATCCTCTACGTTCGTGAAAAGTAAGCTGAAGAGGATATGGTTATAATTTTAAAAAGATGCATGATTCATGCTAATTCAACCTAAAACTAAAAGTAAAAGAAAATGGCTCGGAACAACCCCAAATATAATTGTACAGTTACTCTGTGTTGATAGGTTGCATTTTTTTTTTTAATTAATCTTATCAAATAGCAAGTTACTTGCTGTTTTTCTTAAACTCATCTATTGTCACACAAGCATCCCATACATATTATTACAGCAAACCCTAAACCCTTATAGGGATGCTTGAAATACTAAGAATAATCAAATATGCAAAACAATTACGATGTAAATTAATCAGGTTTAGTGACTACAGGGGAGACAGACTTTTTGAGACCATATGGGGTCGAGCTGATAGAATCATGCGTTGAACCAGTGGTGATTAAGCATCCTAAAGGCCACACAATACCAAGGATAGGTGCACCATTCCTCTCTGATTTACTTTCTCTTTATCCCCTCTCTAATCATCTGATTGTATTTTAGATTTTTTTTTTATCCAGTTTTTCTGCAATGTATGCTTGTAATTAAGTTATTCGTATAAAATAGTTCTTCCGTCGCTTTTCTCCTCAGATGATGATAATTTGAAGACCGCGACAAGGTTCATCGAAAGAGTTCAAAAGCTATGCGAGAACCAGAAATAAATTTAGATCGGCTAACGTGCACACCAGAACCTTGTTATCTTTTTTTGTTAATTTCTTGGTTCTATGTCTCTGTCTATCTCTGAACACAAACCACACGCATTTTTTATTGTCAAAAGTTAATGGTGCCATTTATTTGTGCAAATTAAACTGAATAATAAATCCAGATAAAGAATTATTTATTATTAAATACCTTGGGCACTGTGAGTATACATGACTAGTACAGATGTTGTAAAATCAAGCGTCCCAGAAAAAAAGAAAAAAAAAGGGTCGACGTTTTTGTACTTAAGAAGTCACATGAAATCAATGTGAAAATGGTTGGATAGAATGTTAGGATTTAAATTCTTTAAAATTGATATTCATGAATTTGTGTGAAGTTCTCTGTTTTTAAGATAAAATTTAGAAATTCACGAATACTCAAATTTAGAGAATGCATCCCCAAAATGTTAAATATTGGAATAACTAGCCGAGCCATTCATAAAAACTTCAAAAAACTACTTCTAAGCGAATTGATTGCCATTGAAGAATAGAGTAGGAGTATGGCTTAATTTAATGATTAGAAGAACATATATTTTTAATTGACGTAACATGATAACATAAGATTAACGCTATCTTCGTACAAAATCCCCCTCCCTTTGAAAGCTCTTCGATGCCATTTAAGGGCCTTTATTTGAAGAGTTCCTTCAAAAGGCATGTGAATTTGAGAAATAAATTTTGACATGTGAATACCTTGCCAAGTTTTTTTTTTAAGTTTGGTGAATCAACCTTGTAACTATTGTTTTTGGCGCTTTTATGAGAACAATTTCTAGCAGTGGCCATGAAAGACACTAATTGGTGGGTTGAAATCCTATGAAGTTGGCCTCTTAAGTTTCTATAGGTTAATATGCTTAACATTGACCTTTAAAAATTTTGCAAAAAATGCCAACAGAGAAAGATTGTTTGCACACGTCTACTTGCTTGCTGAGACAAATGAAAATCTAGATGTAACAAACCATATACTTTGATGTCACCATCTTTGGTTGGGACATTGCACTCGTTGGCATCCAAAACATTATTAATGATCTCAAGTTAGAGGCTATGATGAACATGTTGGCTACAAATATACCTAGAGGCTAGGATGATCTCAAGTTGGTGGCCTAGTTAATCATATTGGAGTGGCGACTCGCGAACATCTTATCTGAGACATGAACAAGAATTGAATTGAACATAATGATTTGTCAAATATATGAGTTATCAATTGAACACAACAACTAAACCTCTAGTTATCCTTAAAGACTCGGCCTTCTTTTATTTGGAATTACTTATGCACCTCACACCTTTTTTTTTCTTTATAGAAAAGTCCACTTGTGCTCCACAATACTTACCTGAATACTTAATTGTTCGAACTTGTGTCCTATCCCATTTGAATGCACCTTAGTGCTAATAGGCCAATAGGTCATTGGCAAGGCTTGACCTCTACTGGAAAGAAAAATTGCATTAAGTCAATATATATTGGAATTAGATCCTGAATAACAAGAATTTTGTTATATGAGATTCAACAACTAAATCTTTAAAAAAACAAATCATTGTGCGGACAGGCTCAGACACCTTATAAGCTATCGATATCAAATTTTTGTTGTTAATATCACTATCTGCATAAGGCATGGCTTATAAAAGGCTTAAAAACCTTGTGCATGTTGGGGTTACAAGTCACATTGAATTCACAACCTCTTGCTTACAGGGAAACTTATATACTACTAGACTGCAAGGTCATTGGCAACACTTATAGACCATGTTTCACACTTCATACTCCTTTTTTTCCAGTCAATAAATCATATGGTCCACACTTTGAATGAACTAATTTTAATTAAGGAAAACACTATTTGTGGTTCCTATACTTTGCTTTAAGTCTTGTTATAAATCCCTGCATTTTTTTGGTGTTTCAGATTTATATACTTTTCTCCATCTATAACGTTAGTCTTATAGTTTCTAGAAGGACGTTGATGTAATATAAATGATGTTAAGATTGCTGACGTCATCATTACCATAGTGAAATTTGTGTTAATGTGTTAAATGGATACTAAGTCGAACTTTTTACTACCTATTTAGATAGCTTAAATAATTAATTTTTTTGTGTGGAGAAAATCATGTTTTCACTGAAAATTATCCAAATAGCACTATTTTTTTAGTTAATCGATTATCTAGGCTAAATCACATTTTATAATAAGCTTACCCTACTAGCTTCTCTTAATTGAGTTATCTAGGCTTGACTACCACCTCTAAATCAAACATCCTCTCTCTCTCATTTTGTGATGCTAAGATCAAGCATGAACCCTATACCAGTTAGGGACCTGCTTTAAATTGATCAAGCATGACCCTGAGTTGAATATTTGTTTGTTAGGAGTAAACAAATGATTGCTGTGAGAGGATAGTCTGTTTGTATATAGGGGAAAAGGATGGACATGTAGCAGAGGGAGATGCAAGTATATGGGTAGGATTTAGACATATGTGATATAGATGATGATGGGGAAGTAAGGAAGAAGGGGCAGGATGGCTGAATAAGAGTTGCATTAAAGAGTTTGTATGCTGCCAATCAATGCCAAGCTGCCATGTGTTAATTTGTACTGTTAAAATTAATTCTGAGTAAATCATCCAAACGTCTTCAATTCTATTAAAATTAATTTCAGCCAAATAATATCCAAATAGATTGTGTTATAAATTAATCAATTATAATAAAAATCAATCATATTAATCAATTATTTTTATTATCAATTATACCAAACTAAATCCAAACAGGCTCTTTATAAATGAAATACATGGAAAAAAGGTACATCAGATAAAAAAAAGGTTGGCATGTAGTTAAAAGAAACTCTCAACTTTATATATATATATATATATATATATATAATATCTCAAAAATATTTGGGAGAATACAGAGAGGTCCCAAATGTAATATTTTCCCTGCTAAACACAATTAATACTTAAATTCAAGAAAATAACTCAAATTAGATTACCAAGTTTGTAATTTTATAGAAATGAGATCTCAAATTTTTATAGTTTAAAAATAAATTAAAATTATTCATTAAACTTTCAATTAGAGTAAAATAATGTTTCGAAAACTTAGGATATCTCAGAAGAGTGAAATGATTCAAAAACAATCGAAGAATATCAAAGGTTGGAAAACAAAGTAATGCATCGCGATATATGCACATGCGTCGTGATGACTTCTTCTCTATGCTGCATGTTGTACGTTTTTTATAGTAATTTCAAAAAAAAATTGACATAGACCATTTCTCCATTTAACATTCGAATGAGATGATTTAGGTGTCTACAGAAAGATCTTTTCATAAACTAGCTAATGGCATAAGTTTTACTGTCATATTAAGCCACACAAGAAAATTAGACAACTAAACATATTTTCAACCATTTTCACAATTTTCACAACCCGAGGGTGTCAAAAACCTCACGCATGTGCCAAAATTTATTCTTGACATTAAAACCATACTTGTTGGACTTATGACCACCTGTATAACACATCACATGCATATATATATATATATATATACCGTAATATCAAACTTTCACTTCTCAACCCCTTTAATATAAAAAACAGAGGGGAAGGCTTTAGCATTGCATTTTAAAATCAACATTCATAGTTATCATCAAATCAACAACCCTATACTTACACTAATATTTTGGCTCTATTAAACACTTGAACAACTTATAAATCACAACCCAGGGTCTAAAATACATTCTAAAGATCATATATATCAAAAGTGCAAGTGTATGCAAATATAACCTAATTGGCAATATATCAATTGTTACACAAAGAAAATAGAGTTAAGAGGCTATACAGTATGAATTCAAGATTCTTAAGCCTTGGGAACCTTTTCATTGTCTGCATTGAAGCTAGAACCTATAAATTATTGAAATAGAAGGGTAAGTCTAACTATTTAATAAATAAGGTATATCTATCTTATCCAGTTGTATATTAATTGCTTTAAACATGTACAATCGGTTGATTACTAAAAAACATTCAATTAAACGTGATACAAGCTATAATTTCACAATTCATTTCCATTTCACATATCACATCTCAAATCAAATAATATATTGCTACAAGACACACAGGCATGTGTCAGTGACCTAATTCATTAGTTCCTTGCTCAGTGTCATAATTCATACAATCATTGACAATGGCACATTCACTATCGTGACTTGCCACAAACTTAACAATCATGCAACACGTCGGATAGACATGTATGGATGATCAATTCAACTTTATATCCCCCTTATATCTTCTCACTGAAACTGTAGGCTATAATATCAAATAGGGCTCTGTTTGTATGACTAGACTATTTAAGCTCACCAATTTTAAGATGTGACCCGGCCAAGTATCATAAAACTTATTCTCGGACCACGGTTTCTCCCACTCTTGAATCTCTAGGATGTTATATATTCTAAGCTAATCTCCTTGATAAACAGATAGAGATAGTTAAGTTCTATTACCTCGACAAATAGTGGGACAAGGTTATGCCTTCGTGTACTGGAAAGCATTCGTATATACCATATAGATCTTATTTACTTCTCTCCTAAGTAAACTCCTGTTGAATGATCATGTAATGTATGATGCTCACACACTTCACAATTTCATATGCCCTATAACAACATATTAGGCTCACGTTATAATGCTACTTAAGTAAGCATCCATACTAGTTTCACAAATCTTCTCAATTTAAAATTTCAACCTCATAACACATTTCAAATCCTCTTTTAACCACCCATGTAGTATTCACAAGTCAATACACTCATGCAATCATTACATTGCATACTTCTCATTCTAATTACACGTCATAATTTGAAAATCATTTAAGTCCAGCTCTATATTTTAGTCGAACCAAAGTTAATACACTATCATAAGGTTTATGGCATGCTTTCACATTTACAAACTTAATTATACAAGCAAATGAACCCATTTTCACATTATAATATAATTAATAAACAACTACCCAAGATAAGCTTTCCCTGATTATTTCAAACCTTTGCGAGGTTAAAAGTTTATCCCTCAATAACTTGCTTCCCAGCTTGTTTCCAAACCAAATATAGTGCCTAAATAATTAATCTACAATTAATCAAGTCTAACTCGTTAACATTGTCAAATACATACTTTCAGGCTCTCACTTTCTACTTTTAACATACTCTATATCCTTATTTCTCACATATAGACTTATCCATTGGGTATATTAACTTCTATCCAACCCAAACTAACTATTATGAATCTCACATGGAGTCAACAATGCCTCAACCATCCTCATAACTCAAGTTTAATACCCTATTTTTAGACATTAATGAGGCTTAACAACCAAAAACTTATAAAACCATCGATACTAGGTTTAACCAACCTAAACAACTTTTATTAACTCTATTTAAATTAATGGGTTCAAATATATAGCCTATATGAGCCAAAAATTAACTTTACACTTCAAATCTTAACTTCAAACTAGTGTAGAGAGAAAGAGGAAGGATAGATAATACTTATCTTAGTGATTGAGAGCTTGAAACCCTCACAAATCCTTCCCAAAGTCATGCCTTATTAGAGCTCTCTTTATCCCTCTCATTTTTATCTTGCTTTCCCATGTTTTTAACACTGATTCGCAACTTAAATATATAAAAAATGGGCCATGTGCTGCGGCAGACGATGCTCATGCTGCGGTGTGTGGTACAAAGCCATACTCCTTCATTTTCTCTCCCTTTTTAGCCTACATGGCTCTTACTCGACCTTGAACCCACATCCTAAGATCATTACCAAGCCCAAAAGGTTCTTTAATTTTCTTGAACCATTCCTTTATCAATTTCACCAAATTAAACTTGATTAATTCATTAGTAATCCAATGATTAAAATTTAGGATGTTACACTAAAAGGATCAATTAATTTAAGCTAGGTCTTAAGTGTCAAATTTAAAAATTTATAACTCAATTTCTTAATTTTAAAACTACATTATAATGAATTTGTAACTTGTTATTCAAATTTTAACATGGTTGAAGAATAAAATTTTTTTTTGTTAAAATTTGAAATATAAGTTGCAAATTCATCACAAATTGAGTTGCAAAATTAAAAAATTGAGTTGCAAATTTTTAAACTTTGACACTTGGAACCTAACTTGAATTAATTAATCATTTTGAGACCTTTCTATATATTCTCCCAAAATATTTTAAATGTATTTTAATACTAACTTTTAAACTTTAAGAACTGCAATTTTTATCTTAAGAAATTGAGTCTTGTACATTTTTAAGCATCCCAAAAATATATTTTACATTTTTTAGAATATAAAAATAACTAATTTAAAAGTAAAAATTGTTTTCTTATAAAAAAAATTAAATAGCCAAGCTTGGTCTTAACTTCTTATGGACTATTGGGCTAGACCCAATACTTGAATTTTTAAATTTTTTTAAAACATCAATTTTTACTTTAAAATTAATTATTTTTATACTATAAAAATGTAAAATATATTTTTGGATACTTAAAAGAATATATTTTAAATGTTTTTTGAAATATTTTATAGATATTTTAAATTGAGAGTTTTTTTTAACTCCAAGTTAGCTCCTTTTTTTTAATCCATGTAGTTTTTTTTAATTTATTTTGCTTATTAAAAAGTCTAATTCAACACCAATTTAATAGCACAAACTTAACGATGTTAGTGGACAAGTAAGCAATCTTAACATTGCTTGTGCCGGATTTGAATTCATTGACTGTACTTAATATAAGTACTGAGTGCTTACATCATCTAAGTCGTTGAAATCTAGATCAATGATTCAGATAAACTCATTCATTCATTAATCTTAAGTAGAGTATAAGTTTATAATCATTGATATGAATTTTAACGATTCAAATGCTACAGGCACTAAATACCAATATTAAACAAAGTCACTAAATCTAAATCTCATTTATGTCACGTCAACATTCCTCTGAAATTATAAGAACCAATGGCATAGACAGAAAAAAGTATAAAAACCTATAATATCTAAAAAAATTGTAAGAACTTACAACAAAAAGAATAAAGTAAAGGGACAGAAATAGTATTTTCCTTTTTAATTAATACTTACAGTAAACCTTAGAATTTGAATTCAATGGACCGATTCATCTGATAAATGGTAATTGAACTGATTCAATTTTATTAAAGTCAGACTATTTAATCACACAGGAATAAATCAAGTCATTTTCGGATTGAACATTTTTGGTTCACAGACAATTTGTTACATAATAGTAGTTAATACGAGAACCCATGGTCTGCAGTACAGTTGCTCACCAGCCTCGATGACCGAATGCTAATTTTTGACAGACAAAAAAGTTTAGTTATTTAAAGTTAAAATGTAGATGTAGTATTCTCGAAAGGATTACACGCTCGTAGTATTAACTAATTGGTACGATGGGTTCATTCAGAAGAAGCCGAGCCCAACGGAAGCACCCAATGCGTTCGTTGGTGCGGAAGGCAAGAACGATGACATGTTTATACCTTACCCACGCACTCACTCACACTCAAAACGCTCTCTTCTACGCCAACGTCCCCAAACCCCCCTCCCCTTCTCCTAAACTTCTCTCGGTAGGCCATTTCTCCGCTTCATCAATGTCTTTTTTCCAATTTCTCTTTCAACGCTTCAAGCAACTGTTCCCCAAATTTAAAGTTTTGTGCTTCTTCTTATTCCAGGGCATTCGAGGCTCAATTTGCACTGCGGGAATTCGGGCGTTTCGTAGTGCGCTCACCGAAGCTGCAGGGTCCAGAGCTGCTGTGTTGGGGCAAACCATGGGGAGCCACGACTCTATTTCGTACCTGACTCAGCGGGAAGCTGCCGAGATCGATGAGATCCTCATGGGCCCTCTTGGATTTAGTGTCGACCAGTTGATGGTCAATCTTCATCGTAGATTTCCCTACTTCTCTTCCTGTAGTATAATTTCTTTTCCTGTCGTTGCTTAACGGTTTCAGTTTGTGTTCATTGCACATTTGTAATTGTAGGAATTGGCTGGTTTGAGCGTTGCCGCGTCCGTAGCAGAGGTGATTATTAGCTGCTTTTTATTTATCTATTGAGTTTTCTTTGTAGTTGCACTCCTTTCATGGTGGAAATGAATTGAATGAAATTGTCAAAAATTCACGTAGACAGTTTCAATGATAAGTTTTCTGCAATAATAATATTTTAGTTAGTTATAACACTTCATAAATTACTCGTGATTCCATATTTCAATCATCAGCTTTCGGCAATAAGAATATTTTGAGTCTTTCACTCTGTTCTGTGACTTTATTGTCTGCAATACCAAGTATTCTGAGAGAATCGTGTTCCCTGCAATAATAATATCGTGGAACATTTGTGCTTTAAATTAAGTTTCTTCCACAGGTTTACAAACCAAGTGAGCATGTCCGAGTACTTGCTATATGTGGACCTGGGAATAATGGGGGTGATGGTCTAGTGGCTGCCCGTCACCTTCATCACTTTGGTTACAGGCCCTGTGTCTGCTATCCCAAGCGTACTGCCAAGCCTCTTTATGCTGGATTAGTCACTCAGGTATGGGGAAACTCCAGCTGACAAACTTTTAAACCACCCTTTCATATCGTGTATCTCCCTGCCAATTATTTCTTTGGCACGGTGGTTTGTTGTTAGTTGTTGTGAGTCTCATTTGAATGACTGTTGGTGCAGCTTGAATCACTATCAATCCCATTCCTATCAGAGGAAGATCTGAAATCAGACTTGTCCAAGGACTTTGACATTGTAATAGATTCTATGTTTGGATTCTCTTTCCATGGTAATTTTCTAGTTAGTTTTTTGAATTATTGTTTGTGGATCCCTTATAGAGGACCATGAAACCACATACAACTTGCATTGTTATGTTTATATAATTTTGACATTTTATTAGTTAGTTATAACCGTTGGTTATTAGCCATTGGGGTAATTCAGCGGTCATATAAATACTTCTATGTTTCATTGCATTAGGTTGTTGTTCAATAGAATCTGGTATTATTCAGAAAGTTCTCGCCTCTCTTTTCTCTCTTCCTCTTCAACCTCTCGTCTCTCATCTTCTATAAACCTTCATCTGTTCTTCTCTCCTCCTATCCTCTTCAACATCTATTCTATTCTATTCTACTATTACAAACATATAACAGTGGTAACTTATATATGATGCAAACTCATAATGTCACAACTTTGTCATGACTGATTACTAGAATGTGAAAAATTGTGAAATTAATTAGCAATTTGTGATCTCACCTTTCTAGTCATTTCATAATGTAAAAAGGACTTGCTCTATCAATCATCAAAATTTATTTTACAATATTTCTGGCCATCAAATTATATAGGGCCTTCTTGTCAAGGTAAGTGCACCTAAAGTTATTATTCACCAATGATAATTTTCACCAATCTCTTCTGGTTCTTATCAGAATTTTGAACTCACTTCACAGGCATGAGATTTAATGGATTTTCTTTTATTAATGCATGACTCAATTCATTTTCGTTCATCAGGATGAGTAAATTCTAATTTTTTTCCAGGTGCTCCGAGGCCTCCTTTTGATGATCTGATCCAGAGGCTTGTCACTTTACATAATCATGAACAAGCCAATCAGAAAAGATCAGCTCTAGTCTCCATAGATATTCCCTCTGGGTGGCATGTTGAAAAAGGAGATGTTGATGGTAAAGGCATCAAACCTGATATGTTGGTATGATTCTCAAAGACGTCTGTTTTATTGTTTCTTACACCAAAATTTGGAATTTACAAATAATATCCTAAATCCACTTAGGCAAACACAAGTTGTGTTTCTATTGAGTGATAATCTCGTTAACATGCTCTAAGTTTCTTGTAGGTTTCTTTGACAGCACCAAAATTATGTGCACAGAAGTTTAGTGGTCCTCATCACTTTCTAGGAGGTCGATTTGTCCCACCTGCCATTGCAGAAAAATACAAGCTTCATCTCCCACCATATCCTGGAACCGCTATGTGTGTTCGAATTGGCAAGCCTCCTCAAGTTGATATTTCAGCTCTAAGAGAGAACTATATTTCTCCAGAGTTTCTTGAAGAGCAGGTGGATGCAGACCCCATCATCCAGGTAAAGTTCATGTAAAATAAAACTGTTTGTAAATCCCCCCTTCTTTGGTCCTTCTGTGGTTTATTCATTTTAATTTAATAACCTACGAGTATTTTTCAAAACAGAGATTTTAATGCTCATGGCTACTTCTCAGCCCTCCAACATCTTTCTTATGTTTGATAATTTCGTGATTCAATACCTGCAGTTTTGTAAGTGGTTTGATGATGCATTGGCTGCTGGCTTGAGGGAACCAAATGCTATGGCCTTATCGACTGTAGGGAAGGGCGCAAAGCCGTAAGATCAGCTTTGCTGTTATTCATCTTACTTTGTTTCTTCCATTTTTTTCAGTCTTCACCTATATAGATCACTGGGTTCTTGTGAATGAACAAAATGTACTCTTTGAAGGGTTTTGTGTAACTAAAATGTATACATAATAAATATGTTGCTTAACTGAACTTCATTTCCATCTGGCTTTACTTATACGGCTGCAGGTCATCACGAATGGTGTTGTTGAAGGGTGTGGACAAGGATGGTTTTGTGTGGTCAGTAATAATCTGTTGCTTATACTTTATAATGATCTTAACAAAGTTGTTTGAAAAATGATTATCATCTTCCACCTGCTGCAATTGGTTTGTTCAGGTACACAAACTATGAAAGCCAGAAGGCACATGAACTATCAGAAAATCCTCGTGCATCACTTCTTTTCTATTGGGAAGGTCTAAACCGGCAGGTAACTGTTATTTTTGTTCTAGCCTTTGCTGCATATTGATTTGTTCCTTCATGGCTTTGATGATGCATGTTCCTTTCTGATGCAAATCAGTATCATGCCAGCATGTAGTTTCCTTAAAAAATGAGGGAAATACACTATTTGATATATGGAATGAAATATAACACACGGGTGATTAAATTCTTCTAACGGTCTAGGTTAGTGGATTAGCATCTCCTGGATTGACCTATTGTCTAGATCTCATGAAGGATGTTATGGCAAGTGGTTTGAGATATGTCCAGAGAAAGAAGAAAAATAAAAATGCACATGTCAGGAACTAAATTTAAAAAACCCAATTTTTGCTTTCTTCTCGATTTCTTTCATTACCTTTTACTCAAAAACATATACGGAGGCTTACTTCTGGCTGTTGAAATCTTGATAATCTACTACCTTATAAGGACTTTTTGGTAAGTTTCAGCTCAAAGACTGGTGCTGAATTTGTTTGGCCATGAGTATGCTTTTTTTCCATTTTGTTTAGATTTAAGACAATACTTTCTCTTCTCATGTTAGCAAAGTTTTGTTTCTTTGTAAATTTTTCTTGTTGCAAACATTTGAAGAGCTTCATTCATTAATTTTTCTTGCAGCTTTATTTTAAATTGTTTGAGGTTACATTGCAAAGTATTGGTTAGAATCTAATGTCGTTTTATCCTCTCTTTAACAATATACTTGTCTAGATTGAGGGTATCTTTTATTATTCTCTAGTCTCAATCTGTTTCTCCCTTCAAGCAGTTACCTTCTGCAATCACATATTTCAGAAAACTGTATTTATGTTTATAGAATTGCTGACTAACTTGTCAGAGAGTAAAATGGTTTTTTCTATGTAGGCACCACTTGAAATATATTAGGATGATTTAAAGTGATTGAGAGCTACAAATTGGTTATCTTAATTGTTAGTTTGAGTTTGACTTTTGTATTTGTTAATTCATGTTACCATGGTCATTAATGTGTATGTTTGTGTCTGTGTGTGTATATTTTACAACCCGTCTGAGAATGTATTTGGGGAAAAAGATGCTTTACTCCGTGTCATGGTTTACTGCAGAGCTGCTATGAATTTTAAATAGCTTTACATTGTAAGTTAAATAAGCTGAGGCATTGATGGTTTGTAACAAGTCTTTAGTTGAAATGACCTGAAATGCTTATAACTCTACCGTTATGAAGGCATACCTCATAATTCATTGATCGCCTTCCACTTTTTTTGCCAATATATTGATAACCTTTCTAGATAAGGATCATTTCTGTCAAGATATAGTTAGTTTAGTTTTGTTGCTTAGTTGAGATTCTATTATGTTAGCTGAACTAGGTTTCAATATGTAAGCCCAAGCCCCGGTTTATGCAGTTAGATGTATGTCTTAGAATCAGGTCTTGAACTCAGTTATATTGACTGTTGCCATATATGTACAAAGGCTTGCATTTGAAAAGTTGAATGAGAAAAGATCCAGAACTCTCTTGGTTCAAAAGGGGGGGTCAATCTATAAAGTTCCCATTTCTTTTTTCCTTTTCCAAGGTACGAGTGGAGGGATCTGTGCAGAAAGTCTCAGATGAAGAATCAGAACAGTATTTCCATAGCCGTCCTAGAGGAAGTCAGATTGGAGCAATAGCTAGTAAGCAGGTGTGCTGTTTATTTTTACTGAATTCTGATAGTTGTTGAATATAAAAAATGATTTTTACCAGTTGCTTGATCTTTAGAGTATGGTGGTGCCTGGAAGACATGTTCTTCATCAGGAGTACAAAGAGCTGGAGCAAAAATTTGCTGATGGGTGAGTCTTAGACCATCTTTTAACTATTGGGTTTCCCTTGGGAAATTAGAAAGAGGACAATAGAAAAAACGGAGAGTAAATATTAGCCATAGATGATAAAATGAGGACAATAGGAAAAAATGGAGTGTAAATATTAGCAGCGGATGGAATCATACATTATATCTAGATTCATTTTCAATCCTGATTCTTCTATTTCCTTTCACTATTTCTGTTTTCCTAACGGACCACTATTGGTTAGTATTCTGTTCGTGATACCAATTAAAGTCCCTATGGTTCTAATGCATTATTCGTGATATCTTAAATTGTGTGCAATTGTTGGACTTTCTCCAAATCTTTCTGGAATTAACCTGAGCTCTGATTAGCTCATCATCTTATGCCTCCAACATTACGCTGCTTTTTAAGAACTCCTTGGCCCTCCCATTTGTTAACGCCAGGTGAGTTGGGAAGTAACACTTCTGTTTTCCTGCTTGCAGTGGCTTGATCCCTAAACCCAAAAACTGGGGAGGATACAGACTGACACCACAACTTTTTGAGTTTTGGCAAGGACAGCCGTCTCGTTTGCATGACAGGTGGTTGTTGCCCCCTTTATGACTGGTTGATTTTTATGTATATTGTTCATTATGACATGGACAAACGGTGGGTGTGGGACTATAATTCGTTTTTCCAAATTTATGACAAAAACTATAAATCTTGTGCCTTGCTCTGAGAAGTAAAAATGAATTTTATTTGTTTTTAACAATCTTTAGTTTGGGCTTTCAACAGTATTATTCCGTATGCAGCTGTCATTAGAAGCTATTGTATTCACAAACTGTATGAGGAGAACTATCCATGAGGGTTCCTTATGGTTTCGTTGTGAATATTTTATTGACAGGTTGCGCTATTCCCCCCACGAGATCAATGGACAACGAGCATGGAAGATTGAGCGGTTGGCCCCCTAAAACGTCTAGCATGTGAGAAACATAAATAGGTGGTGTGCTGATGTTTGTAATATTAATTCTCAATCATGCTAAGTAAAACAGTAGATGGTCAGATAATGCAAAAGTAGATGAGGATGTGCAATCTCAGTTGAATATCGAAGCATACTATATAGACATACCGATCACGAAAACAAGGCATTCGATATTATGATAGTCCCAATCAGTGAGCCTGAATTTATTCATTTAATGGGAAGTATAGAACGCTGTTCATCATCTAGATGACAGTATCATGTATATGGTAACAATAATGTGAACTAACATTGTAGTTTTTTATTTTCTTTTGTTTTTTTTTTTGGGACAGAACATTGTATTTTTGTTCTCTCTTATTTGAGATCCGCATGAGTTGCTATATTTGGCGGCAGTGATTTTTGATTGTTAGTCATTTCTAATATGGATCAAATTTCATTGCGAGCCATTTGAGACTGTCCGGGTAGGGAGGATGATTGGACTTAAACCCGTAACTAAAGAAGTTTATCCTGGGAAAGGTAATTGATACTTCTGGTTCTGTAGCTGTCTGATACTTACGGTTGACAATTAATTTGTGATCAAAATTTAATATAGTTCAAATTATCAATGTATATATACAACGAGCCAAATGCAGACGTGCATGCCATAGAACAGCTCAAATATTTATTTATTATTCTGTCTCGATGCACCTTTACACTCGTTCCTTTCCCTTCCCCAACTTGTGTTTTGTCGTGATAAGTAATTTATAATATAGATATATATATATATATATATATACACAGATATATTGGAGAGCCAGCAAATTCATGTTTTCTTCAAAACTTCATTCGCCAAGTCACCAGGTTTATGGACGGACGGCTTCGAATTTTCCCAGATCATGAGATACTTGCCCCTGCCTTTGCCTAGAGAGGTCTTGAGAGTCTGGTGGGTAGCAACAATTTGATTACAACATTTTAATCCGGGCGATCTTACAGCAGAGATAAACACCGAAACCAGACCCTATCTGATGGTCGAAAGGTGATTTTTTTTCCCCACCCAAGATGGGTATTTCACTATTTTGAATGAAGGTTTATGAAAATGGAGGGTGTGTATTAGTGGCTGGATAGAATCCATGTACTGATTGATGGACAGGGAACGCCAAAAGTGGCTCCTGCTGAAATATAAAGGTGAAAATAGTGTAAACTATTAGTTGTCCTATTCCTTTTCAAATAAGTGGATGGCTCTCCAACAATTTGGACGCTTCTCGATATTTTTCCAGTATTGGTCAGGTTGATGAAGTGGATCATGCCAAACCGGGGACCACCATGAATTTGAAAATCAGCAAATTTCTTTTCAGATTGCTTTTGACCAAGTCGAAGCTGTAACCTGACACCCTTGCTTTTTATCTGAGAGGTCATATTTAGTTCAGGGTTTTCCACTCACCACACCCAGTTTCCTTTCAAAGCTTGGCCTTCACCTCCTCAATGATATCACAGCTTGAGATCGAAATTCAAACGCCAGAGAGGGCTCACAGTTATTACATGTCATTCGTGAAAGCTACCCAGAAGATGATCATGATACGGCATGGGATCATTTTGCAAGAGTTCTAAAGGAGAAATGATTGGAAGATTCTCTCTCTCTTTCAAATCATATCAGGCTAGGCCCCCATGAAAGAGAGAGAAAATTAACAAAAACGTGTAACCCAAATAATGGATTTCAAGCTTTTAGGCTTTGAAGCCTCTGTTCTTGATATTCCGCAAAGCTGTTTGATCGAACTCACCAAATATTACATGTTAATGGCTCTGTTTCAAGAGCAAATTGACATAAAATGACATCAAATATCAAACCCTATCATCGAGACCAACCTTCCATGGAGCTGGATCGGCCATTTGTCGATTCTGTACTAGAAAGTGGCCCCTTACCTCTCCCTCAATTCCATCAACTCTAGGAGCCTCGATTGCTTTCTTAACGTCAAGAATATGCTTGCTTTTTCTGTGCGGATATAAAGACTACAGTGTTAATAAAGATTTAGTTTGATTGCTTAGATAAGGCCATGTCTATGCAGAAGGTTATTGAAGAGCCAGAACGATTTTTATCTGCTCGATTTTGAATTTTTTATATCTATCCACAAAATAAAAAGCAATACGGTGTAATAGTATAAGTACAGTGCGCTGCAGAAAGAATGCTCGGAGTACAAATTTGAAATCGTGTCAGGGATGGACAAAGATGCTGAGGCAGGGGAATGATAGTCTCTCTTTTGAAACTTCTTTTCTTGAATGCTTATCTGAATTACGATGAGCCTTTTGAGGAGCAAAAATCAGCAACTCGCCTGAAAAAAAAAAATTAAAAAACCCGACAATGTGACTTGACTGGTGAGTTATGGATGATGATTTATGGACAACAGCCATTCACATTAGTGGATGTCTCATCCTTTGAATGAGCGACATCTGAACTAATGGCGATCCCAAAGGTTAAAGTAATTTGTCATTTGCTATGCATAACATGGTCTCATCGGTCTTAGCTAGAAGCAAAACACAGCTTCCAAACAAACCCTTCTTGTTCTGCTCTCTGCACATTCCGAAATCTCAGTTTGAAGACAGAGAGAAATCAAATACTGATACTTGACAAGTGAACATTATAGTTTTTTATTTTAAAAAAGAAATTATAGTCAGACGACTTAAACAGTTGCATGTGATGTCTCCATATAAAATATGTAAAGCGAGGATCAATCCTGGAAATGGTGACAGTAAAGAACGCATTATTGAATATCATTTAAAAAAGAAGTATAGTTTAGTGGTTGAGCTGGGCTTAGATCAGCCATGAATGGTGGTTAACAGAAACAACACGAGATGTAATTTTTTAAAAAATAAAATAAAATCACGGGATTTATCAGGGTTCGTGACAGTGTACGTTAGCTTCTGCAATGTGCATCTCCCCACCATTATGTTATCAAACACGATATCATTATTATTAATAAATGCATGATTATATAATATCTTAATGTGCACAATGTCATTAATATATCCCCAGCTCCAATACCGTACACGTGGCCCACATACTCAAATGATCGGGCGGTGGGCCACCCCTTGGATGTGGCTTCACCAATCACCCATAACCAGCCAGCCCCCTCGCGCCTTTTTTTTTTTTTTTCCTGAAGCATTTGCAACTCATTCTAATTATTATTATTTGTTCCTATTATTATATGTGCGCGCTTAGCAAACAGTATAATGCATGTGAAAACCAAATCAACTTGTGCTTGTTCTCATCCAGGACCATGTAATTTGATGGATGAATTTTTCTATTAAAAAAGCGATAGATTGGTCTGCCCAGTAGGTAAGACAGGACCATCGCTCGGGTCATTTCAATCTTAACGCATCGGACGGCCATAATTGAAGGATGTGTGGAACCCTGTCCTTTCCGTAACATCATTATCCAAGTCCCTCTTATTATTTTTCCTACCTCGGGACAGTGATGGTTGGTTAATCTGGGAGAAAATACCAAGAAAGAAGAAAAATAAACGATATTATCTTCATATGTGAAAAGGAAAGGCCCGCCGTATCCTATGAGGGACTATTCCCAACACAAGCAATATGGAAAAGCCGCGTTAGCGACACTGATGATACAAGGCCAGTGTAAGAGTTGAGAGAGAAAGGGCAGAGAAAATGTCCACTTGCTGCTGCAACTCCCCTTCGGTTATTCAATTGCACAATCAGATTCCACTCCAGTCATAACCATGCTCTCACCCTCTAGCGAGAATGAATACCACCAAGAAGTTGAACATGAGCTCTCCTCTCTTTATAATTAGATTATTCTGATTTATTCCTTCTAGACTGAACTGGATTAAATTTTCCAGCAGATGAAATAAACTCAGGCGTCTATTGGAGCCTGCAGAAGCAATACTAGAGCAGGAGATCAACAGAGACAGAAACTGATAACAAGCACGGATACTTAAGCTACTCGGATAACTTGGGGAGGTTATGGAAAGAACCAACAAGAGGTTCGGGAATAACAAAAGCCGAAAAAGAAAGGTATCATCACAACATGTCGCATGGGAACACACGAAAAGAAAGATCGAAAAAGAGGAGGGGGGGTGTTCCTGCGACGTGTACTTGTTCAAACACTTTCCGCACAATATGAATGGGCCTCACCGCCAATTGATCATTCCGCATTCAGAAAAGAAAAGGCACAGACACAGTCGCACTAAGCATCTGGTATTATATGGACCCTGCATATTCTGGCATTTATTAGCCATCTCACAATTACTAACAATAACAATAAATTCAAGAGTCAGGAACTACAGCAACACGTCCGGAAAAATAAATTGAAAAAAGAAAAAGAACAAACTTCTGAGAGATAGGGGAGAGATCGAGATGTGTATATTCGGTCCAGGGATTTAGTCCTCACCAGCTACAGCTTAACCTAACTGCCATTTGAATCAAAATAAACAAACTAAGTTCTTACAAAGTGAATGCTTTGTTTCTCTATTGCTATGGTAGAAAAGTTAAGAGGATGTCACCCCTCCAACCCTTCAATTTTGATACCCTTCTGAATCAGCTTCCCGGGGGACACCATCTGAGAAGATGAATTTTATGTAAGCACTGCTCAGAGCAGTTTTGGCAATCCCGCCCCCTCCTCCGGTGGTCTTCCTTTATGATCAAATGAATCTAGAAGGAAAAAAGACATGAATTCAAAGTGTAGAGCGATCCAACATCAGATGGTCCAATACCCGTGGATATTCATCTTCTACATCGTCTCCCCCACCCGCCCCCCCCATGTTTCCTAGCGTCCTCCTCCCAAGTCCTCTGCAACAAACAATAATGAGAAAAGAGAAACACATTCTCACAATAGTCCCTTCATGGCATGCCATCTCAGTAGCCCAGGCCGAAAAAGAAAAAACAAATTGCTAGCTCAGCTTTGTTTGACATGGATAGCACCATTCTTCAGGCAGGTTTTCATAAAAATTTCCTGCTCTACAATTCCACTCGGCAGCCACCATAGAAATAAGCTGACAACTCCTCAAATTTAGAGTCTACTGCATGATGGTGACAAATTTGGGAGCATCATCTCTTGGTCCATCAAGGGATCGATACATGTATAATATCTCAACAGTATCATCAGCATTTCTCTCTTCACTTCTAATCACTTCCACCACCAGATGAGGCAGTGCCCGTGCGACTTCTTGGCAAGCATGGCGAGTCAGTTTACAAGATGACATCCAGACAAACCTCATGTTGTAATAATGATGCAAACCAGAATGTAAAGCTTCATCCCCAAATGGACTATCCCTGATTTCAAGTTTTTGCAGATTATGGCATCCCTCTAGAACATATTTAAGCCCCATGTCAGTGTCACCGGCAAAAGCAACTGACAGTGTCCTAACCAACTTCCCATATTTCCCAATGTAACCAAAAGCTCGGTCAGTCAGCAAACCAGATACAGCAAGTCGAGTGAGCTTCTTACAATTCATAACAATAGCACCAAAACCCTCATCCATGGGCTCCCCAGTCACCGCATCTGGCAGGTATCGCCCAATGATGCAAAGACGAAATACTACTAGATCTGGGCAATTCTTTGACATGGCTACTACAGCTGCATTTGTCATTCTTCGGCAGAAATACAAAATTGATTGTAATTTATTACAACCTTCAGAAATTGCTTGAAGGCCCACCTCGGAAACTGTCCCCTCAGCATGCTCATTAGCATTTTCAGGAAAAACTCGAAGCTCACGAAGATCCCTGCAAGTTGCAGCCACTGCTTGAAGGCCTTCATCACATATTGAATCAAGGACCTGCATAATAAGAGCAAAAGTAAGCTTCAAATACAAAAATGACAACAATGAGCAATCCGAAATCAGAATTTAGAACAAAAAAAACGCATACCCATAATGTCCGCAGTTTATGACAGTGGCAAATGACAGATTTCAGTTGTTCAGCATTAATATTGGCATAGCTGAAATTCAAAGATGTGAGATTGGGACAAACTTGATAGATTGCAGGCAGGTAATCTGGGAAAATATCCCTGAATCCAGATAGACAAACCAAGGATTTACAAGCTGCAAATGCAGAGGCATAATCTGGTTCCTGATCACCGGCAGCTACAGCCTCTGATGCACTGAATGAACCTGTTCCAAGATGAGTGAGCTGTGGCGCTCGAATAATCAGGCGGTAAAGCTGAGAGATGGTAGCAAATCCATTCAACCTAAGTTTCTTTAACGAAGGTGACCTAGCCACAAGTCTCTCCAATGCATCGAAATTAACAGGGAACTGTAAGCAATCGAAAACAAGAGATTCCAAATGTGTTTGATTGTCTGGAAAACATGATAGCCATTCCACTTCATCGTCCTCGACCTCCGATTCAACAAGATCAAGTGCTCTCAGCTGTCTGAAACAAGAAAGATAAAACAGGCAAAAATCAACTCACAACAAACAAGTTCGTTCCTCTTTTTCCGACCACCAAACGTCTCCAGTCTAAGCCATCCAATAAATTGTAAAAAGCTCAAGGACATAATTGCTATAGAGTCCACTTTAACGTAATTTCCGAGCATAAAACAGAACAATGCCGTGAAAGCAGGAAAGCACACCCAGAACCCCCAACCCCCCAAACTAACACTGAAAATTTTCTTATCAAAGCACAAACTACATCAAACTAATCTCACAAGCGATTAAGCGTAAACAACAAACAACGCCCGTAGTAATCAACTGAAAAATAAACAAGATCTAATTACCCCTTTTCTTAAAGAAGAAAATATTACCTGCATCTGCTGGCAACGGCGGCAAGTCCACTGGTCCCAAACCCTTCGCAGCATACAAGGACAAGCTCTTTGAAGCCGGGGAACGATTCAGAGAGAAGAACCAGATCCTCGTCCGTCACAGACATGCGCTTCAGATAAACCTTCTCCAGCCAAGGATAAGCCGTGGCCATGGCAGCGACCCACGGCGAAAAGTGGGCCCCCCAGTTGAGCGGCATCAGATCGAAGTCTGCGAACCTCGGCTTCCCTTTAATTGCGACGGAACGAACCCGAGTAAAGCGGGCGGTGGCGCGGCGCGGCAACACCGCATAGCAATTACCGATGAAGAGTTCGGATCGGGTGAGGGCCTCAGCACGGTACCACGACTTGCAGACCAATGAGGCAGCGTTGCGGTCGCGGCGCGCCGTGAGGAAGTGGAGGACGTTCTCCAGGACATTCTCGAGGACTTGGTCTGGGTATGGCGACTGAAACTCCATTGACCCAGACCCAGAGCCAGGACAAGCAGCACAGTTTCTAGTTTTGGTGGATGATTCGGTGATGTCGGCCCTGGCAAGATCCAGGATCGACGATCCGTGCTCGTCTCGGGGGGCCTCAACCTGGTTAACCCTCATGCGCACCACACTCAGTCCTGATCTGCGAGTCGGGAACTTTTGATGAAAAAGATGGAATCTTTTATTGGTTAGTGGAATTTGGGGACGGAGTGGGCAGAAGATTTGGTTGTGCGTTTGATTTGGGAAGAGAGACAGGGAGAGAGGGAGGGATGGAGGGAGAGGGTGAGGGGTTATTTTAACTGGTCACAGAGGACGAGTACAGTGAGCTCTGCTGTCTGGGTCTCTCAGCATTGGGATTCTCCATTTCCTCTCTTTCCTCCCAAATATCCATCCAGTGGTTCTCCCCTCTTCTCTTTGTGCCTTGCCTTTTCTATTTTACTAACTGACCTTTCTTCTCTTTTAAATCTAAAAATCAGTTTGTCTGTAAGGCACTGAAAAAATCCATTTGATTATCATAAAATTAATTTAATTCAATCATTCATGTGACAAAGGATGAATTTATTAACCCTACAGTATATTCAAGTCTATGAATCAAATTAAAATAATTGAATCACATTATTTTAATCTCAAATTTGTCAGGCTGGTTGAACCAAAAGAACAATAATTTTAGGTGACCTTTTGCTTGAAAATATTTTATTGGGGATGACAGCATTGACAGATAGGAACATAATCACCGTCAACAATGGCATGAAGAAGAATGACAGATTCAATGCACGAGCATCAAATTATGCAAGCCAAACAAGGGAGGTAGGAGAGGAGAAGGAAAAGCAGAAGCGGCCAGGCGAGCAAGAATGGAGAGAATTGGATTTCCTTTTCGAGTTATGGCACCCAAACCCTCTAAAACAGAAGGCCCCTTTCCAGATTGATTTTCTGCCTACATTTCTGCCCCAAATTTTAACTACCTCCTGCTCAGCTAGCGTCGGATTTAACTTTTTCATTTCTGCTACTTACAGCTTCCATGATTATTTTCCATATACGTCCGATATATCGTTTTCAGAACTTAGCCGTTTTTGTGTCTATATAGTATAATTTGTTGATCATTAAGAAAACTGCATTTTTATTTATGTTTCAGCGCGTTGGTTAAGCAATGAGCCGCCCCGCTTGTCTGATGAGATTTAATTTTGAAAACATTATGTATAAATATCAACTAGTTTATAAATAAGTCTTTGGAATTTACAAAAATATAATCTAGTTGTCTTTTGTTATGGATATGAAAATACCACACTGCCCCCGACTTCAAGCTTGATCAATCATGGGTTGCAATATTTGGATCGTAAATATATGCTGATCAATTGTGAATATAAGAACATAATAATATTTGTATGTTTATGTTTACAATTAGTTCTTATAAATTTACCCTTAAATATTATAATTTACAATTGAATAGATTTAAAGCTGAAGTAATAAGCTCTTTACGAAAAATTGACCATGATACTGTTAAAAAAATAATTTTTTAAATACTACAAGTTCAAAAATAGTTCTCATTATGCTACACATGAAAACTTGATTTCTTATAAATCAACTTTTAAAATTTCCTTTTATTGACATTCCATCAGTTTGTGTCAGATCAATTTCAATACAATAATGTGAAATAAACTAAAAAATATGCAATATTTTTATGATGGTTTGATAGATAGAGATGAAATTATGATAAATGCCGTTTCAAATGGTGCGTTGGTTGACTTTTCACCTAATAGAGCTTGGAATTTGATAGAGAAAATGGCTCAAAGTGGTGCTCAATTTGGGACAAGATAGTCTAGGGTAGCTTCAATGTATACTAGCTCTCTCATCATTAGCCCTTCTCCAGTTGATGAGATAGCCTATAAGGTTGGCAAAATATTTGGTCCTACATTCAATGCTAATATAGCTAATGTGTCAAATATGAATGTGCCTCTTAATACTTGTAACGCCCTTGTACCTTTGTCTTATAACATTGTAATTCTTCCATGCATGTAGAGACATGTTGCCCTATGTAAGACAATTATGCTTGTAATGTGAATGCTTTTTATAGGGGACATTAAGGCAATCAAGGAGGACAATATGGCAATACTTACATTGCAAATCGGAAGACTCATCCTAGTCTTTCTTATGGAAATCTATATGGAGCTTTGCAAGAGACAAATCAAGGAGGGTATAACACTAACCAAGGCCACAACACTCATTATGGTCAAGGTAATTTTACACACTATCAAGGCAAAGGTAGTACTTCTAACCCTCCAAACTTTAACAGGCAACTTGTGTCAATTGATGGTCATTCTTCTTCTTCTCAATTATTTACTAATTCTAAATTGGATATTATTATTAATGAGATGAAGAATGATAAGTAAAATTTCAATGCACAATTTGCACAACAACAAAAGTTTAATGCCGCCACCTATATTAGGCTTAATAAGCTGGATGAAGTGCTTGATGTACTTTATAAGCATGGTAGTTCTTCTACTAATCAAGTTTCTTCTTCTAATGCCTAATCCCTTACACTCCCTAGTAATACCGTGGTTAATCCTAAAGTCCTTATAAATGCAATTGACCTTAGGAGTGGTAAAAGGGTTAGTAATGATCGTGGTGATGTTATTTTGAATGATATTGTTGATGCTAAAAAATATGAAAAAAATGAGAAAAGTATGATAATTGATTATTTTTTTTGCTCTAATGTAGGTAAAATAGTTGTGATGTTTATGTAGAACCAATGCCCAAAAATGGCTAAGATAAGCTAATGGAAGGTGCTTGAAAAAATTTCCACACCACTATTCATGCTAGAAATCATTTGGCCAATGCTCAAAAAACGGAAGAAAAGGCTCAAGAGGGTGTATGAAGCAAAGGATTTAATGAGGAAGCTTTCATCTCTTCAAGCCCAAGTGCTTTGGCCTTCAAATTATAAGAATGTGCATGATAAGAAAGTGATAGATTTCTTCGCTAAAATTCAAGTAAATGTGCCTTTGTTAGATGTTGTGAAGAACTTCCCTAAATATGCTAAGTTCCTTTAAAATTATTGCACTAATAAGAGAAAATTCTTCCTAATACTAAAGTACAATTACCTCATTCTATTAGTGCAATAATGAAGTCACAATTACCAGTTAAGTGTGAAGACCTGGATCCTTTACTATTTCTTGCACAATTGATAACTTGAGATTTTCATTTGCTCTTGTTGATTTAGGTTCTACAATTAATGTCGCACTATATTCCATATATACATCTCTTAAACTTGATTGTATACATCTTACTAATATGATTTGCCAACTTGCAGATAGTAGTGCTAGGAAGTCACATGGAATTGTGGAAGACTTGATTGTGAGTGTTAAGAATTTATTGTTTTTTGTGGACTTCTATGTGTTGGGTATGGATGATGAGGGTTATGGGGAAAATATCTTGATCCTGGATAGACCATTTATGCACACTGCTAGTACTATCATTGACGTGCTAAAAAATGATTCTCATGTTTTGAAATGTGGTGATGAATCTATAAATTTTTATATTTATTATGCCATAAAACATCCATATGAGGATTACTTATTGCTTGGTGTGAATGCTATTGAATGGGTGATGGATGACATTGCTATTGAACTTGCTCTTGCCTTGACTAATTCTTCTATTACACCATCTTTTGCATAATGTATTTCTTATGTTTGTATAGATGGTTCATTTTATGATATTTGCAAAGAGATTGCTAGTTACTTGCTAGATGATAAATCTCATTTAGATCTCTCTCTTATTGATGACTTTGTCTCAATTGATGATTATGCTTGATTAAGAAAAGGGTGTCTTTTCTTATTTTATAGGTGGCAAGGGCGGCTTATTCAAGAGCTTTGTCTTCCTCCTCCTCCTCCTCCTCCTCTTTTTATTTTTCTTTTTAAATTTTTTTGCAAGGCACCTAATATTTTAAACCTACCTCATATCAAGCTAGAAGCAATAATTCAGAGCAACTTCAAAAGACCTAAAAAATTTTAGGTCCAAGTTTGAGAGTTTAAAATTTAGCACACCTAAATTGAAGTTTTAATATTTTAACAATCATTTTTTGAATATTTTTTTGAAAATGAAAAATGTTAGTTTCATTTGAAAGCGCAAAATGTGTGAACTAAAAGTTTTAAAGATGATTCTTGAAGATTAAGTGAAAATTAAAGTGTATGTTAATTTCATATTTTTAATGACGAAAAATATTTTAACTATTTGTGCCAAGCTCACTTGGGTTCAAGTTGGCCCAAATTTTATTTGGGCAATCTAAATAAATTTGAAATAAATAAAATTTTATAAACTCCCAACTCTAAAAATTTTTGAGCTTATTCAAATTGGCCTATCAGACATACCCCAAATTATCATTTCTAGCTTAATGTGAGGCAGGCTTAAAATATCAAATGCTATACAAAAAAAATAATAAGATGATAAAGCTCTTGAGCAATTTTTTTTAATTTCATTTTACATGATTGTATTGAAATTCATCTAGCACAAATTGATTCAAGGACAAAGCATTAAGAAAAAGAATTTTTGAAACTTGATTTAGTAGAAGCCAAGTTCTAATCTGTAGTGTAATGGGATTTTTTTTTAATAAAAAAGAGATGCAAAGCATTAAAAGAGATACAAGCAACCTAGCCTAGAGCCAAGGAATATAACCTATCATCACCCATCGCCTTAAGACAATAAGATGGGAGATGATCAAAGATAATCCAACCTAGGCTGATATTAGCAGTAGTCCTTGAGAAATGCGCACAAAAGTTAGTCTTTTTATACATGAGGTTAATCATGACATTGTAATTCTAAAATAGCAAAATTCTAGCTCGTTCTATAATGTCTCTATATGAGTGTGACTCATAATTAGTAAGATAAATTAAACTAAGAGCTTCAGTGTAATCAGTGAAAACTCAAACCTTATGTAAACCTTTGGCTTAACATAATTGTGAGTCACAGATGATTTCTAATAATTATATTATAGCAATAAGAAAAGAGCGAATACAAGCATTAAAACTTGTAGCCCAATAATAAAAAATGTTCTTGAACTTGTAGTATCTTGGAAATAATTTTTCAGTGCAGTACCATGGCCAATTTGCCTATTTTTGCTATGATGGTACAATCAAAGCAGATTTCATTGACTCATATTTATAAATGAGGCTTTTAATTAGACTACATAGTCAATCAATTTTCTAATAAGTTCATTACACTCCTTGAAATTGTGCGAATAGAGAATAGACTATTACTTGCGAGCTGATTTGGAAATACACGCATCTTTGGCTTGGAACAATGCATCCACTTTTCTTTTCCATCTAGATAATCAAAATAAGTGGCAATATCTCCCCCGAGGGCCAATGTGGAATATTTCAAACTTGTGGTCATTTTTTGAAAATGCTCAGACTGTATGATCTCTTCATCCTTATTTTAAA